ACAGGTAAAACTGAATGATAAGTGAAGTTCAATGAGAGTTTTATTGACTATTACAATAACTACAGGGTCAGAGAATTAGACAATTTATAGATCCTAATATCAAATAAAATTCTTTAAATATACTACTTTGACATATATCAGTACTTTTGTAACTACTTCTGTCCCAGTGTGTGGATGACAACTACGTGGCGACTGAATATTTTACTTGCTTTCTCTTTCTAGATGTGACACGCAGTCACACATTATATGCCTCTGAGAACCCCGTCGCAGTGGGAAACAATGTTACCCTTAGCAGCAATTACAATGTCTCATCAGGCGGATGGCTATTCAACACCCGCCAAATTGTGATAACACTATATGGGGGTGTAGTTATTTCCAAAACTTGGCATGACAGAGTATCTTTTAACAAAAGTACTTCATCACTGACCATACACTCAGTAAAATTGGAAGACTCTGGAAACTACGCACTGCAGGATGTAATTGATGAAATTTTTTCTCAGTTAACACTTTCAGTTGAAGGTAAGCGCACTCTCATTTTTCTTGTTTAGTCACCAGCACAGATTTCACTTCCTACATTATACTTCTTGCAAGATTTCTGTATCATCATCATTATTATTATTATTATTATTATTATTATTATTATTATTAATTAACTTTGTTATGATTTATGAAAAGATGCATTGTTAGAGTCTCTTGGTTCCATTATGTTAAGGAGAAAAAACAACTCACACTATCACATTGTAGATATATCTCTCTGGAAAAAAAAGGAACAAAATTACACTATAAATTTAAATAACACTATCAAAAATATGTTGATCTTGATTTTCAACAATTGTTACAACAAATGTTAACAATTACATTGCCTACAATATATATTTGTGAAAAAGAAAGGAAACCCTCTTTCATTTCTAAGGTTTTACATCAAACATCAAAGTCAGGGTAAATACCAACTCAGAACATGACATCACACCAAGTCATTGTTTAACAAAAATTTTAAGAAGTAAATGCAAATAAAAGTATATCCTTGATGAACCAGAGAATTGGACTGACCAATCAACAGACAAATACTGTCACCCAAGGAGCCCTTTTTTTTTTTTTATAAGACTGTTTTATTTTTATTTGTTTTTATCTTGAACCTGACTTTAATTCAACATATGGGTCACATTGTCATATATATTTGGTGGAGGACACATTGCTTAAATAAAACATGACAAATGCCTTGTTATTTTATTCTCCGCAGAGTCTGTTTCAAATGTGACCGTTCAGACAAGCACAACCAACCTGGTGGAGTTCAATGACACAGCAGTACTTATGTGCAGAGTGTC